TGTTTAAAATATTTTAGGTTGTTAGACCATGCTCTGTTTTTTGTATTTTTTTTAATTGAGGTATAATTCATATAACATAAAATTAACCATTAACCATTTTAAAGTGATATCTAGTACACTCACAGTGTTGTGCAACCATCACCTCTGTTTAGTTGTAAGACATTTTCATCACTCCCAAAGGAAACCCTGTATATGTATCAGTACTTCATTCCTTTTTATGGCTGAATAATGTTCCATTGTAAGAATATACCACATTTTGTTTATCTGTTCATCAGTTGATGGATGTTTGGGTTATTTCCACCTTTTGACTATTGTGAATAGTGCTGCTATGAACATTTATGTACAAGTATTTGTTTAAATACCCGTTTTTCAATTCTTTTGGATATTTACCTAGGAGTGGAATTACTGGGTGGGTCATCTGGTAATTCTGCATTTAACTTTTTGAGGAACTGCCAGACTGTTTGCCACAGCAGCTATACTATTTTGCATTCCCACCAGCAACGTAGGAGGATTTTATTTTCCCTGTATCCTTGCCAACACCTATTATTTTCCATTTTTTGATAATGGCCAATCTAGTGGGTGTGAAGTGGTATCTTGTTGTGGTTTTTTTGATTTGCATTTCCCTAGCAACTAATGGTGTTGAACATCACTTCATGTGCTTATTGGCCATTTGTTTATTAAAAGGATTTGTTCTGTAAAATTTGAATTCAGTCAAAAGGCCGTACTCAAGGATCCAAAAGCCATATGTGGCCTTGATGCTGTAAGTTCCCCACCCCTTTGCATGTGGATATCCAGTTCCCTCAGCACCATTTGTTGAAAAGACTTTCCTTTTTCCATTGAATGGTCTTGGCACCCTTGTCAAAAAATCAATTGACCATAGATGTATGGGTTTATTTCTGGACTTTCTATTCTATTCTGATCCATATGTCTATCTTTATGCCATATACCACATTGTTTTGATTACTGTAGCTTATAGTTAAGTTTTGAAATTGAGAAGTGTGAATTTTCCAACTTTAATCTTTTTCAAGATTGTTTTGGCTATTTCGGGTCCCTTGCATTTCCACATGAATTTTACA